GGAAGGAGCACACTGGCCACTGTCCTTTGTGGCCGCAACTCAGCAAAAACTGAGTGCCCTCCAAATCCCGGGTGTCCCCACAGAGTTCCAGCCTAGTCTGCCCTCCCTCTGCTGTAGCCCCCAGGTGAGTGGCTGTGGCTACTTTAGCGCTCTCTCCTGGCTCTCAGTGCTGTGGAGCGGGCTTGGTCTTTATTCCCACGAGGGCGCTGCTCACAGTTAAGACTGCTGCTGTCTGTGGGCTCCCAACCCGCCACCCTCTCGCACCTCCACAGATCCTACCAGTGTCCCTGGTTATATGGTCCTGTTCTGCTGCTTTTCTGTTGCTTTTTTCCAAGGATTTGTCTTTATTTTAGTTGTAATTCTCAATTGGTCCTGGGAGATCGTCTATGGGGCTTGTACTCACTCTGCCTCCATTTTCACATCCTCTGTGCCTATCTTGTGTGCAGCTGGGTAGCACAGGCTTTCCTGGTGCCCCTGCACCCTGCAGGTCCTGCGAGTAACTGGATGGCACAGTCCCTGCTGCGTCATGCAGACCTCTCTGGTGCTTCAGCACCCCATAGGCCCTGTGGGTAACTAGATCACACAGTCCCTTCTGGGTCACACAGGCCTCTCTGGTGCCCTGCACACTGCAGTTCCCGGGGGCTGGCAGCTGGATCACACCAGTCTCTCTCGGGCTCCGGCTTCACACTGCTCTTGTGAGCTACTGGACTGCATAGGCCTCTGTGGAGCCCCAGGTCCTGCTGCTGGGCGCTGGGGAGTGTTGCTGCCCCGTGGGGCTCAGCTTTTGCTGTAGTTTTTGGGGATGGGTCTCAGCTGCTGGTCTGTTGCCTGGGGATGGATGTCTGCTCCCTATCCTCTGTTGCTGGGGGTATATCTCAACTCTGATCAGGCTGCCATTATGGGGAATGGTGCTGGGCTCTGGAATGTCTGCAGCTTCAGTGACTGGCACCTTGGCAGCTCCACTACTGTGCACTGGTCTGTGTTTACACAGAGTGTCCACTGGTCCGATGGTGCCAGGTGCACTGGTGGGCTCAGGTTGCTGGGCCCTGGCCGCTCCCACTGCCTTCTCCCAGGGAAGACCCGGGATCTCCCCAAATGGTGGGACCTCCCCGCGGAGCAGGGAAAAGCGCCCTGAAGGGCTGCTCACCGCGGTAGCCGGCTGCTCCGTCCACAGCACAGGGACCTTCTGCTCCACGTCTCTGCACTGCTCGGGTTTGTTGTCCACTTTGCGTCCACTCACACTCTCTCCCACACTCACCTTCCCTCCGGTCCGTCCCCATCTTCAGGCTGTCAATTTTTTTTCTTCATTGATTTTAGAGAGAGAGGCAGGGAGAGGGAGCGAGAGATAGAAACATCGATGAGAAAGAACACTGATTGGCTGCCTCCTGCATGCCCCCCACTGGGGATCGGGCCCACAACCTGGGCATGTGCCCTGACCGGGAGTCGAACCCACAACCTCTTTGTGCAGTGTCGATGCTCAACCACTGAGCCATGCCGGCTGGGTGAATTTGCTTTAATTAAAGTCTACCAATTTACATGTTACGCTCAACTAAAAAGTGCTTTCACGATAATATCTAGATGTGTTTGACTAAATGTCTGGCCACCATGGCTCAGCTTGATACTTAAAATTAACCATTACACGAGGTAAGTTTGGTCTTCATAGAACGAGTTGGGAGTATCCCCTCTTCAATTTTCTGGACGAGTACGTGTCAGATTGTCTTGATTTCTTTCTTAAATTCTTGGTAGATTTCACCAGTGAAGCCATTTGGGCGTGGGTTTTTTTTTTTTTTTTTTTTTTTTTGTGGAACGGTCTTTCACTCTACATTAAATTTATTTAATAGCTAAAGGGCTATTTGGGTTATCTATTTCATCTTTAGTGAGCAGAGTGCCTTCTCCTTTGTCTTCAAATCGATCCAGCCTTCCTTGTAAGGCCCAGATCAAGTTGCCCCTTACCCATGTTGCTTTCCTGACCACCTCGGCCCTCTCTGTCCCTCCTCGACACCGTCCCAGTCTGTGGCGCTCGTGGTGCTCAATCACAGTTGCCCTTCTGTCGTTTAGCTTCCTGCATGTGTGGGTACCCTTGTGGGACTGCAGGTTCCTTGGAGGCTGGGACTGTTCGCTTGTCTCCCCTGAGCACAGTGCTGGTCTGCTGATTAGAGCACTCTTTGAAGGAAACCCGGGCAATTACACACGGAGCTCCTGAGTCAGGACGCTTAGGACCCCGGCGGGCCCTGGGTCAGCGCTCGGAGCGCTGGCGTCAGACAGCCCGGCTTCTGCCTCCACCTCTGCTCTGCACTAACTGTGCAACCCTCGAGAGTCCCTCTCTGAGCCCCCGAATCTTCTCCTGTAAACAAGGACAGCACACGTACCCTGTCCGGCCAGTGCGGCTCAGTGGCTGAGCGTCCACCCTGCATCGAGAGATCACTGGTTCGATTCCCGGGCTGTGCACATGCCCAGGTTGTGGGCCTATCACGGGGGGGGGGGGGCGTGCAGGAGGTGGCCAGGGGGGGGGGCGTGCAGGAGGTGGCCAGTCGATGTTTTCTCTCATCGATGCTTCTCTCTCTCTCTCCCTCTCACTTCCTCTCTCTCTAAAATCAATGAAGGAGGAAAAAATGTAAAAACAAAACAAAAACCAAAACCAGAAAAACCACCCACCCTGTCGAGTTGTCATAGGATTAAGTGAGATAAAAGTGCTAACCCAGTTGCTAGAGCAGAGCAAATGCTCACTAAATGTTCACTGTTCTTGCTTTTCTCGTGCTGGTGGACTGGGCACCATCAAATGTACCTGGGACCAAACCGCCACCCCTGGGCCAGCCTGCGGATCACCAGCTGGTGAAGGTCAACGTCACGGACACTCCCTGTGAGCATGTGTTGAGACTTTAGGGAAGAAGCAGCGTTTCAGCGGGGACCCTCAAACAGAAACTGTCGTCACAAGCCCCAGGCCGAGTGGGGAGGGCTGCCCGCCACAAATGGCTTCTCAGTGCTGGTCACATACATAAATAGCCCTGTGGTCAGCAGGGAGGCTTCTGAGAGCAGAGAGAGAGGGAAGAGGGCCCACGGGCTTGAGCTGGACGGAGATGAACCCTCAGGCTTGGGCCTCCCGTCTGTGCACCTGCGCATGTGCCCTGGGAGGCAGGAAAAAGCCTCCCACGCCGGCCTCTGGCTGCGGTGGCACCCCACCCCCCACTGGCTGCCACAGCCCACATCCTGCCCCCCCCCCCCCCCCCCCCCCCCCCCCCCCCCCCCCGGGCAGCAGGTTCGGGCTGCAGCCTCTCACGGTGCAGGGCACTTCCTACCCCACCTCCGGGGCCTGCTCTACTTTTTCTTGTCTTTCATGAGACAGGGAGTGTTCGTTTATGAAAACGTTAACCAAAACTCTGATAGAAACGTATCTGCTCACTCACAGGAGAGTTAATCTCGCAGAAGCCACCTTTCAGAAGCGTTTCCTCCTCGCCCGCGGTGAGCCCAGGACCCGGCCGTCCCCGTGGCCCTGTCACTGAAGTCCTGTCACTGGAGGCCGCGGCCGGTGCGCGGCGGCCAGACCCCTGACTGTGGCCCTGGGGTGGTCTGCCGCTTCCTTCACATGAATTCCCCACCGAGCCCCGCGGTGCCAGGCTCTGTTCTGGGCACCGGGAAGGCAGCCATGGTGAAGACAGACCCAATCTCTCACTGCACAGGGTGTCACAGATCATACCTGGCCCCGGGCCCTTGACACGTCACCCGGGCTGCCTGCGTCGACTTGTTAGCATATCTGACTTTCAGGGGAGGGCAGAGAAGCAGGGAGAGGCTCAGGGATGTGCCCACGGCCACCTAGCCAGTAAGTGGTGGAGCCACTTGTGCAAATCTGTGTCCTGTCTCCTAGCCCCCTTGCACCTCCTCTCTTCCGTCTGCCACCTTCGGATGCCTTTTTTTTTTTTAAATCCTTACCTGAGGACATGTTTTTTTGCATTTATCTTGAGATTGAGCGGGAGGGGGAGAGAGAGAGAAATATCGATGTGAGAGAGACACATCGAGTGGTTGTCATCCACGTGACCCCAACTGGGGCCGGGAACAAACTGCAACCGACGTACGTGCCCCTAGCGGGATCCGAACCCAGGACTCTGGTCCGCCGGCCGATGCTCCAACCACTGAGCCAAACCGGCCAGGGCTTCATCTGCCTTTTAAGGCCCGTGTTTCTGTCCCACCCATTTTGTGAACGGACCACTCTGTAGGGACCCATCAGTCTCTCTCTGCCACCCTTGATGTTTTTCTCCAAGAGAAGTTAGTCAAACGACTCATTGTTTCTCTCTCTCTTTCTCAAGTATTCCCTATGCCCTCTCCAAAGAGAGCTTCTGATGATGTCCCAGCCACTGTGAACACAGGGACCGCAGCTGGGAGTGTTGTTAACGATGGGAAGGATCCGAGTTGTTTTGGGCCGCAGGGCAACCTCAGTCTGAGGCTCCCAGAAGAGGGACAGCAATTCTTTTAGCCAAGTACACTTAAAGTTTTTTTAAAATACGTTTTTATTGATTTATTTTAGAGAGAGAGGAAGGGAAAGAAAGAGACAGATAGAAACATCGATTGGCTGCCTCCTGCACGCATGTGCCCTGACCAGGATTCAAACCAGCGACCTCTTGGTGCACAGACAACGCTCAACCGCCAAGCCACACCGGCAGGCGGTACAGTTAGTTCTTGCCATGGAGATGGAAATGACCATGCAGGGGCCACAGTGGGGACAGGGCGAGAGGACACAGGGCTGGTTCTGGGCCAAGGCCTCTGCTAACATTTACCCTGTGCGTTCCCGCAGAGGGTCGCCAAAGACAGAGCTGGGAGCGCAGAAAGGCAGATGGAACAGTTAGGGGTGCGGGTGCCGTATATGCAGGGAAAGGAGGGAACCACAGGGAGCAGTAACGTCCAACAGAGAAGAAAGGAGTTGCGAGTGGTGGCGAATACAGAAGGAACACATCCGGACAAGGGCGCGGGCCAGGCTGGGCGTGAGTAGCAATGATGGTCGAAGGACCACGAGGCAGCAGTGTCCGAGGACTGGGCTCCCGCAGAAGAGGCAGGAAGGAGGAGGGGCAAGGCTGCAGGCGCGGGGCGGAGGAGTAGTCCTGTGGGGTCCAGGGAGTAGCAGGTGCCTGGAGAGGAGGAGCCAGGCCTGGCCAGTGGGAGGCAGTGTCCTGAGCGCTGTCAGATGCCTCTCTGATTCAGTCCGGAATACAGGTCCCGCTGGCCTTTTCTGATGGGCTGGAGGTGGACAGAGGGACGTCAGCGGGAGGGGAGACGTGGGTCTCTGAACATCTAGCTTTAGTGCAATGGAAGGAACCTTGGACTGGGTCAGGAGGCAGGCTGGTCCTCCGGCTTGGCACTGGCTGGTAATAGCCTAGATCTGGTCCCCTCCTGTGAGTCTCAGCTTTCCCAGCTCAAAAATGGGGCTCTAAAGACACACTTCTCAGTCACTCCCGGGCCAGCGACTACCCTGGGCTGATATCACTACCGCGTGATATTGGAAACATCTAACAGTGGGCTGTGCACACCGCCAGCGCTCAGGGGAGTCCCAGTGAGTTCTCCTGTGCCCAGCAGGGCGTCTTCCGCTGTCCGGTCAAGAGACAGCGCAGTGGGGGCGAGCCTGTGATCTGGCGGTAGGCGCTGGGGCGAGGGGGAGCTTGGGGCAATATATTGATCAGTGAAGTATTGTAATAATTCAGCAGCTGGCATGACGGTCCTGGTGTGCACTGGAGGGACATCAACCCTGAGTTCATCACGTTAGAATTTACATGTGGCCCTGGCCCGTTTGGCTCAGCGGTTAGAGCGTCGGCCTGCGGTCCAGAGACACCTGGGTTCGGTTCCCGCTAAGGGCACGTGCCTCAGTTGCAGTTTGTCCCCGGCCCTGGTTGGGTCGTGTGGGTGGCAGCCACTCAGTCTCTCTCTCTCTCTCTCTTCTTCCCTCTCTCCCTCCTGCTCTAACTGAAGATAAAGGCAAAGTGTCCTCGGGTGAGGATAAAAACTCCCCTCTGTGCTATCCCCACAGCTGTGTCCCAGCTGATGAACACATACGCCAGCCGCTCCGGGTGTGGCAGCCGCGCAGCCGCCCGCTGGCCCCGCTTACGGCGAAGGAGGCAGAGGCGGGCAGGGGGCATCGCTCTGCAGCCCAGTGAGGGCTCTCAGGTGTCTGGCCCGGTGAGCACACCCGCCTGCGCTCCTCCCACAGACAGACCCCGTCTCCCCGCCATCCCTTGTCTGTCCTCCTTCCCTTGTCTCCCCTCCATCCCTGGTTACCTCATAGTCCGGATTGGGGACAGGCGGTGGCCTCTCCTTGCTTTGTCCTGTGGGGGGTGGGTGAGGGAGAAAGATTTATTTTTGCGTGGGAACACCAACCTGATGGAATGAGGCCCAGACCCAGGATGGCAAACCTGCTTGGTCTCCACCCCTCCCTTTGCCTGCCAGCCACCTTTTCTGTTCTTCCTTCGATCCGCACCCCCCCCCACCGTGAGTGCCCCCCACCGTGAGTGCCCCCCCTGTTCTTTTCCTGTTGGGATTGTCCTCAGCCCGGGGTGCCACTGTTTCCTTCTCAGAGGAAAAGGCGGAAACTAGTGTCCCAAGGCCTCCCCCGCGGGCTGGGCAGGGTCTGACCGTCCGAGCAGGGACAGGCCCTGGAGGAAGGCCGTCCAGTCAGGAGCGTCCACACTTTTCTAAGGCGGGAAGGAGAGTGTGACCGGAGATGAGAAACCCTCTGTCAAGATCTTGACAACCTAGCGGACGCCCCATAGAGCTGCCTGGAACCGTGTGTACCCGCCCCCGCCCCGAAGCTGGACACCCCCCTGGTGGGACTCTCCTCCCGCCCGCTCCACGCCCGTACCGCCAGGCCTGCCGCCAGCTCCGACCCCTCTGGTCACAGGCTTGGCCTTGGCCTTCCTGTTCTTGCTCCAGTAGTACACCAGCAGCAGCAAGCCGAGCGTGATGCAGACGTCCACCACGATGACCCCGGCCACGGCCACCAGATCCACCTCCACGCAGTTCTCGCACACTGCGGGGGGCGGGGGAGAACAGGCGGAGTCACGGGGGGGAAGGCACAGCGCACGGGGGACGCCCGAGGGACGCGTGAAGGCGATTCTCCCTCCCCCCTCACATGGGAGCCAGAGCAGGGCCGGGCCCTCCCTTCAGTATGTCACGGCCACAGACACAGTGTGGCTGTTACGCGGGGCAGCTCTGGCCCAGACAGTCGGGGTTCGAGTCCCAGCTCCGTGGCTCACTAGCTGTGAGGACTGTAAAGTATGTTTTCAACTCCCCAAGACTCTGTTCCCTCATCTATAAAATGGGAATAAATGAACTCATATGGTTGTTGCGAGGATTACGTTAAAAAAAAATCCCCCAAGCAAGTCTGTTGCTGTAGTGCTTGAAACAATAAGCACTCCATAATGTAGCTATCATCGGGATGTATCGTTATGCCTTAGCTTCTGACATTTTGTGACCGTCTCTTCTGCAAGTCCTTTTGGAGATTGCATCTCTGGACAAAAGCATCAGCTGAATTCACATCGCTGCGCCATAACTCTGGTGCGCGGGAACGCAAAGGGGTTAGCGGCCTCGCGTCTTGAGAAGGTGTTGTTTTCGATCGGGTGCAGACTGAACTTACCTAGACTGTCCCATCGTGTAATCTGTGTGTCAGAAAACACTGATGTGTGTGGCCCCAGACAGGCCCAGTACTGAGTGTGGGAGAGGCATACAGAGGCGAGGGACTGTGAGCTGGTTAGGGGGGTGACTGAGGGGCCCCTTTGAGATGGTCCTTCCTACAGAGTCTTGTAGCGCTTAGGATGCGGGCCATGTTACCTCGTGCTTTCAAGTAGAGATAATTGGTACGCTTCTCCTTCGAGTCCCTTTTGTAGCAGGTATAGTAGCCATTGTGTTTCGTTTCTGAAAACTTCTCTAGTAATAGGTGGTCCTCCTGTTCATCGGGTACTTTTACACCATTTAGTTCCCACTCTATTGGATCAGTACTAGGAGCCACAGGGCACGTCAGCTCCACCCTGGTTCCGGAGATGGAGACTGCAAATGCTGGGGGATGGAGAGAACAGAAGGGGAATTGGAAGAAGAAACCAGGAAGATGTCAGGAAATGCAAATTAGTAACAAAGGAGCCAACCAGATGCAGAAAGTCATCGGTCCTTCAGGCCTTAGACTTTCTCGTCCGAAGGGAGCTCTGCTGGCTGGAGGGTGTGGGGGGGGGGATGCAAAAGGGGGGCTAGATGACCCTTTGAAAGTGACTTTAGAGTCTGGGCGTGGACTTGGGTAGGGGAGAACGGAAGTAAAGAAAGACTCGTAAAAGTCGCAGTTTGCTATGCTTCTAGAACGGGAGTTGGAACCACAACGTTGGGAGGACCCCAGTCCTTGGGATCCTCTCTCTCAATCAATTCCTGTCCTCTGTCCACACTGACCTGCAGGCCTCAAAGAACGGGCTACTTACGTTTTGGGATCGGTGGCTGTTCGTCTGAAAATGAAAAGAGGAAAGAACGGTAAGAAAATCGTTGGTGTAAGTTTAAATCGTAGGTGAGCAGTTTCAAATGAGACTGGACACTGCCCCAGGGACTCTCAGAGAGGGTCCATCCTGTAAGGACTCCCAGGCCTTAAAGGTGAGATATGCAGTCAGCCCATGAGTAAGCTTTACGGATACAACCGGGTTACATCAAATTGAGAATATACCAGCATGTGCTGTTTTAAGAAAAAATCGATTGATTGATTTGAGAGAGAGAGAGAGAAATGTCAACGTGCTGTTCCCCTCACCGATGCACCCATTGGTTGATTCTTGTATGCGCCCTGACTGGGATTGAACCTGCAACCTTGGTGTATTGGGACGACACTCTAACCGTCTGAGCCACCCCGCCGGGGCCCAGTGTGTGCTCCCTGGTCTGGACCCACCGAAGCTTAGAAACTCTTCAAATCCTACAGCTGAAAAGTTTCAGATGTCTTCCAGCTCACCCTCTTGCGTTAGTGAGAACCACGTGCCACGCAGACACGCAGCGGGCTTCTGAGCGATCAAGACCTCCACGTTTCTGAACTGCGGATGCCTGGGCTGGCCCTTGTTTCATGATTCAGTTCTTTCTTATAGCTGACAGAACCCCTCATCACAGAGATCGACATCTTTCTCACGCCACACACCTTCTCTGTCACTGCCCTCAAGGGTGGGGAGCCCTAGACACATGGTAAGGGAACGGTTCTTCCCCATAAAAAGTGGATTTCCTTCAAATATACCTGAGTATGATCAACTCTCAGCTCTTTTTGTCAGAGACTGGACCTCTTGGTGTGGGTGGCTGAAGTCCATTAGGGAGTTGGGGATCCAGCCACATTCCCCATGGCCGGCAGTTTTGCCCCAGAGATGGGGGGCCGGGAGGTACCCTCATTTCTGGAAGACTCGTGAATGGGACACTGGGCAGCACCAGGGCATGTTTGAGCCTGGATATGACAACTGGAAGAGAGAGGACATGGTGGTGCAAGGAGACAGCCCTCTGTCTGCTGGGGGTGTTTCACTACCCTGTGCTATTGGGGACAGACTGCTGGGCGGAGCCAGAGGCCTGTGTTTGAATCCAGATGCTTGGGCTGTGACCGAGGGCAAGCCATTTAAACTTCTCTAAGCCTCAGTTTCTTATCTGGAAAATGGAGATATAAAACATCTACCACGCCCAGGTGGTGTGGCTCAGTGGATTGAGCATCGTCCCATAGACTGAGAGGTCCCGGTTCGATTCCCGGTCAGAGCACATGCCTGGGTTGTGGCTGGATCCCTAGTGGGGGGCGTGCAGGAGGCAGCTGAGCAACGTTTCTCTCTCACATGGATGTTTCTGTCTCTCTCTCTCTTCCTCTCTCTCTAAAAAACCAATAAAAACATATTTTAAAAAGAAATCTACCTCCCAAGGTATTTGTGAGAATTAAATGGATTATGAAGGTAAAAATGGATGAAGTATGCAGATGCTTAAGAAAAATGTCAGTTAGTTTCTCCCTTTCCTTCTTAAGATTCTTCTGCCCTGGAGAACAGACCTAACTACTGACCCGCTCGCTCAGGTAGCTCTGGCCGAGATCACATGGATGCAAACAAGTCATTCTCTAGGTTCGCCATCTGCTAACACTTGGGAGTTGAGTATAATGACGATAGATAGTCGATATTATTTTGATTTAAAAATAATTTTTCAGCAGTGACATTTTTCAAAAACATTAACTAAATTAAAAATCATAAATAAAGTAATTTAAAAGTAAACAGACATTTAACCCTGCTTGGTGTGTTTGATGGAAAAGGAGATGTAAAGCAAACTGCTCTCGACTTTTATTGGCACAAACTTAGTAGCAGAGCTTAGACTGACACAGGCTCACACAAAGGCCTAGATGTTTATGCTTAGAAGTAGGATGTGTGGTCACAAAGATTTTACGTACGTGATAGCGTGGGAAAGAGATGAGCTACCCTGAAACATACCAGTGCTTTTGACATGTCCCATTCATCAATAATGTGACTTTAGAGCATGCTGCAAGGCCAAATAATAGGGTCCCGAGGTCACGTACAAATTAGGCAGTGCAAGGGAAGGTAGATTGGCACCGTGACTGCCTTTAAACACAGATTGGAGGAGCTGATGAAATAGAAAGGCTTCCAATATTGGGACACTCTTTTGACTCTACTGCTATGATTGAGAAAATAAGTCCAGGCCAGGCACACTCGTAAGCAAGTGCACACATACACACACACATGCACACACGTTCAGCGTATTTGCTCATGAGGTTCTGATGTGCCTCCAATGCTGCTCCAGAGGCTTATTCACTGCACGCATTCCTTCCAGCCACATACCCTCTGCAGAATCTCACACCGGACATGGAATGCAAGCAAACGAAAACAGTCAGCACATTCAACTTAATTTAATAGTCTCCATTTCTTTCCTTTTGAATGTTCAAGACTCACTATCTCCTATGGTCTCTGTCGTTTCCCTCTTCTTGGCCAGAACTATCTCCAGACTTACAAAGAAAGGCAAAGGCCAAGATGGCAGACTCCCCTTTTATTGGTCCCCATGGCAGCTCCGTGGGAGGTCCAGAGGAAGCTGCCTTCATCGATACAAAGCATGCGGGCTGATTTCATAACAAAGAAAGAGTATCTCACCTTCATCCCCCAAAGCACCAACTAGAAAACAAACAGTGAGAGAAAAAGAGTTAGTAAATGTTAAGTGCTTGAAATTCCAGGCAGAGGAAGTGCTGTGGTCTTGTCTGACCTTGTCTGAACATCTGAAAGTCCTGCCCAAACACTGTGGAATCAATCATCTCTGTATCCCCAATTCCCAGTCCACCAGGGATGAACTGAGCAAGAAAACACCTAGCATTGAACATAAAAACACAATATTTGGCAAATAGAAGTCAGAAAAAGCTGGGGGGTGGGGGAGATTTTTGGGTGACTGGAGGAGAAATAGCAATAGCATTTTGCAGCCAATTTGCATTTTGAAAATTGAAGGGCTCCGTCTCCGACGAGGAAGAAAAACAACTCTTGGTCAGGTACAAGCATTCTTGTTCCGTCTCTGGCTCCCGCGTGTCTGATGTTTCAGTCTTTCCATTTGTTTTGTGCTTGAGACACAGATGAAAATATCTGAAACTCTGATTACTCATCAGCTACAGTCTGTCCACAGAAAGGCCTGATCACATTTCCACTGGGCCCTTCTGATCCCCTCACTCAGCGATAAACGCATTCAGCACAGTGACCAGTGTTCTTGGATTTGCCCGAAAGCTGAAAGCTGTCTGTATACTTGGACTTTTCTTTTACCAATAGCCTCTACATCAGGGGGACACTGTACCCCTCTGCCCCTCTCCTATACCCAGAGCAGACTGGGCACACTCTCATTCTCCTGGTGCAACCTTTTTAGGAGAGCTTGGGTCTTTGATACTCAATCTCTCTCTCTCTCCCCCTCCCTCCCTGACTCTCTCCCCCCTCCTCCCTCTGTCTCTCTGCAAAGCATACTTCATACGATAGGCCTCTAAGAAAAATGCCTGATTACTTCCTGCAGGAGTCACGCCCTGCCCCTTGACACTCAAAATGTGTTCCCTGGACCAGCAGCAGACGAATAAGCCCAGAGCTTGTTAGAAAGGCAGGAGGGCAGTCCCTAATCCAGACCCCTGTAGCTGAAGCGGCAGCTGAACGAGACCCTGGGTGACTCGTGTGTTCCTTCAGCTTGAGAAACTCCGGACGAGGCAGGAAGTGGAGACATGAAGGCTGTGGCTCTGGCTTAGGAGCCCGTGTGAGAGCATTTTCTAGGTCTCTGACACACCCGGGCCAGCGGGTTTGCCCCTGTCCTGCAGTCATTAAGAGCACAGGCCTCGTGGACAGACAGCTCAGTTTTAGGGCTCGCGGTGTGGCTTTAAGCAAGTTATTTAACTTCTTTGAGTGTTAGTTTCTTCATCTATAAAACAGAGGAGGTCATGCTCCCCTTCCGAGATGGAGGTAGGAGTTAACTTTGTTAGCACGTACAAAGAATTTCTTTTTACGCAGTATCTAGGACTCAATAAATGGCAACCTTAAACTTTAAAAAAATTTATCTTATGCGAGATATCGGAAAGACTCTTGGTTATTTGTTATTCTACCTTGCTTCAAAAAGGACTAAACTAGCTCTGGCCGGTTTTGCTCAGTGGTTAGAGCATCAGCCCGTGGACCAAAGAGTCGCAGGTTCGATTCCAGCCAAGGGCATGTACCTCGGCTGTGGTTTGTCCCTGGCCCTGGTTGGGGTCGTGCAGGAGGCAGCCAGTCGATGTGTCCCTCTCACGTCAATGTTTCTCTCTTTTTCCCTCCCTAACACTCTGTCTGAAGATAAATGGAAACATGTCCTTGGGTGAGGATTTAAACAGCGGTTCTCAACCTTCCTGATGCCGCGACCCTTTAACACAGTTCCTCCTGTTGTGGTGGCTCCCAACCATAAAATTATTTTCGTTGCTACTTCATAACTGTAATTTTGCTGCTGTTATGTCTCAGGTTATCCGTGAAAAGGTCTTTCGACCCCAAGGGGGTCGCGACCCACAGGTTGAGAACCGCCGATTTAAAACACAACAACAACAAAAAGGACTAAACGATCGAAAGCTCTCGAACCACTGAGAAGGACTGAAAAGTGTGCAGTGTTTTCTTGTCTCGCTCACTGAGCTGGCGGCGCCTACAGCTGTCCCGTCTCCCCACGCAGGGCGCAGTGGTGGCTCTTCCCATGTCGCTGGAACCGGGCCTCAAGGGCGGGCGGTTCGTGAAGGCACAGAGACCACCGGGCTTTCGCAGATCGATCAGCCACTGCTTTTGTTCGGCTGCTGCCTGAAAGGTCCCCGTAGCCCCCAGGGCCCTGTTCCCCCGGCCTCCAGCCCCGGTCCCTGAGCAGACACCGCGCGATCACCCCTGCTGCCCGCAGCTGCGGCGGGGCTGTGGGCCCGGCCACCTCCAGCCCGGCCTGCTCACCTGACAGGAGGCAGAGCCCCAGGACTCCCCAGAGGCGGCCCGACGGCATGGTCCCCACTGCACACGGACTCGATCTCAGATGGAGGCCGCTTGGCCTAGCGCTTCTGGAAAGGAAACCAAAAGCCTTTTCCAACCCCTGCTGCAGAAGGCGACCCTGGGCCGTGGCCCGGGGCGGGATGAGGGGCTTTGGGAGGGAGACTCACCATCACCCGCAGCAGGCGCCCAGGGCGAGGGGCGGCAGGTGTCTGAGCCCCACACAGGAAGTGCGGCGGGGCCTCGCCTGCGGGCCCACGTCACCCGGAGACGTTGGAGGCACAGCCACCTGTGTCCGCTGGGGAGGGCGGCCCATCCCTTCTCCCAGGACAAGCCAGAGCACTGGCAGGAGCCGGGGAACCATGCACGCAGCCGAGCTGGGCCTGGCGTGTGCCCCTCCACCAAACCAGCTGTGACAGGAGGGACAGGAGCACCGTGTGTGGGCACAGAGCAGCAGGGTCAGGCATCTCATCACCCAAAGCTGCTGGCTTACAGATACATGTTGGCTTAAAACCACGAGGTGCCATTGTTTTGGCCTATAATATTTACAAAACTATTTTATTTATTAAAAAATTTGTTTCCTTTTTTTTATTAATTTATTTTTGTTACAGATGTTTCTCCTTTTTTTCCCCATTGACACCCTCCTCCCCATCCCCACACCCTGTACCCGGCTCTGTTGTCCGTGTCCATCGGTTATGCGTACATGCATATAAGTTCTGTGGTTTATCTCTCCCCTCCCACCCCGCCACCTCTTCTGAGAGTTGTCAGTCTGTACCCTACTTCCACATCTCTGGGTCTACCCTGTTCCTCAGACTGTTATGTTCATTATATTCCACAAATAAGTGAGATCATGTGAAACTTGTCTTTCTCTGCTTGGCTTGTTTCCCTTAGGATAATACTCTCCAGGTCCCTCCATGTTGTCTCAAAGGATAAGAGATCTTTTTTCTTACAGCTGCATAGTACTCCATTGTGTAAATGTACCACTGCTTTTTTATCCATTTATCTACTGATGGACCCTTGGGCTATTTCCAGATCTTAGCTATTGCAAATAGTGCTGCTATGAATATGGGGGTACATATATTCTTTCTGATTGGTGTCTCAGGCTTCTTAGGTATATTCCTAGAAGTAGGATCACTGGGTCAAATGGCAGTTCAGTTTTTAATTTTTTGAGGTAACACCATAGTGTTTTCCACGGTGGCTGCACCAGTCTGCATTCCCACCAGCAGTGTACTAGAGTCCCCCTTTCTCCACACCCTCACCAGCACTTGTTGTGTGATGATTTGTTGATGGTGGCCATTCTGACAGGTGTGAGGTGATACCTCATTGTTGTTCTAATTTGCCTTTCTCTGATGATTAGTGATGTTGAGCATTTCTTCATATGTCTCTTGGCCATTTGTATGTCCTGTTTGGAGAGGTGTCTATTTAGTTTTTCTGCCCATTTTTAAATTGGGTTCTTTGTCTTCCTTTTGTTGAGCTGTATGAGTACTCTACATATTTTGGAAATTAACCCACTGTATGCTCTTGCTTCCTTTGTCAAATATTAATTGAGCATATTGCCTTGGGTTGATTTCTGGGTTCTCTGCTCTGTTCCATTGATCTATATGCTTGTTGTTGTGCCAGTTTTGATTACAGTGGTTTTGTAGTATAACCTGATATATGGTTTTGTGATCTCTCCAACTTTGTTCTTCTTTTTCAAGATTACTGTGACTATTCAGGGTCTCTTGGTTCCATATACACTTTTGGAGTATTTGTTCTAGATGTGTGAAAGATGTCATTGGTATTTTTTTTCTTTTATTCCTTACCCAAGGACATTTTTCTACTTATTATCAGATAGAGTGGGAGTGAGGGGGAGAGAGAGACAGAGAAACACTGATGTGATAGAGCCACATCGACTGGTTGCCTCCCGCACGACCCCAACCAAGGCCAGGGACTAACCACAATTGAAGTATTTGCCCTTGACCAGAATCAAACCCTAGACTCATTGGTCTGCCAGCTGACGCTCTAACTGCTAAGCCAAATCAGCCAGGGCTATCATTGGTATTTTACTAGGGATTGCATTGAATCTACAGATTGTTTTGGGTAGTTTGGACATTTTAACGGTGTTGATTCTTCCAATCCATGAATGTAGTATATGCTTCCATTTCTTTATATCTTCCTCTATTTATTTTTTCAATGTTCTTTAATTTTCTGAGAACAGGTCTTTGACCTTCTTGGTTAAGTTTATTCCAAGATAGCTTAATTTTTTTGCTGCAATGGTAAATGGGAGTTTTTTGGTTTTGTTTTGTTTTGTTTTTAGTTTCTCTTTCTGAGTGTTCTTATTGGTTTATAAGAGTGGCATTGATTTCTGGATGTTATTTTGTATCCTATTACTCTGCTGAATCTGTTCATTAAATCTAGGAGCTTTCTGGTGGAGTCTTCAGGGTTTTCTATGTACAATATCATGTCATCTGTGAATAATGACAGTTTCACTTCCTCCTTTCCAATTTGGATGTCTTTTATTGTTCCTTCTTGTCTGATCATTGTGGCTAAGACTTCCAGTACTATGTTGAAAGTGGACATCTCTCTCTTGTTCTTGCTCTGAAAGGAAATGCTTTCAATTGAGTATCATGCTGGCTATAGGTTTTTCATATATGACCTTTATTATGTTGAGATATTATCCCTCTATTCCCACTTTGCTGACCTTTTTTTTTTTTTTTAATCAGAAATGTGTGCTGAATTTTGTCAAATGTTTTTTCAGCATTCAACTTTTGTTGAGGATCTTGGCATCTATGTTCATCAGGGATATGGCCTGTAATTTTCTTTCTTTGTAGTGTTTTTATCTGGTCTTGGAATTAAGATTATTCTGGCCTCATATAAAAAGCTTGAAAGACTTCCTTCCTCTTGAATTTTTTGGAATAGTTTGAGGAGAATAGGTGTTAGTTCTTCTCTGAGTGTTCAGTAAAACTCCCCTGTGAAGCTGTTCAGACAAGGGCTTTTGTTTGGTGGGATTTTATTGATTACGGCTTCAATTTCCTTGGTTGTTATTGGTCTGTTCAGGTTTTTGGACTCTTTCCAGTTGAGTTTTGGAAGACCAAATGATTCTAGAAATTTTGCCTCAGTTGTCGAATTTGTAGGCATATACTTGTTCACATCAGTTGTTACTTCACCTCTTTCATTTCTGATTTTATTTATTTAGGTCCTCTCTCTTTGTTTCTTGGTGAGTCTGGCTAGAGGTTAATCAGTCTTGTTAACCTTTTCAAAGAACCAGCTCTTAGTTTCATTGATCTTTTGTGTTGTTGTTTTTTCAGTCACAAGGTCATATTTTTCCACTCTGACCTTTATTATTTCTTTCCTTCTACTTACTCTGGGTTTTTATTTTGTTCCTTTTCCAATTCTTTAAGTTGTAAGGTTAGATAGTCTATTAGAAATTGTTCTTGTTTCTTGAGGTAGGCCTGCAATGCTATGAACTTCCTTCTCAGGACTGCTTTTGCTGCGTCCCATAGATTTTGTGTTGTTGTGTGTTCATTTTCATTGATTTCCAGGAAGTTTCTATTTTTTCCTTGATCATCTTGGTAATCCATTTATTGTTTAACAACATATTATTTGTCTTCCATGTGTTTGAATGTTTATGAGTGTTTTTATTATAATTAATTTCTAGTTTCATGCCATTGTGACCTGAGAAGATGCTTGATATGATTTCAATCTTCTTGAACTTGTAGAGACTTAATTTGTGTCCTAACATGTGGTCTGTCTTTGAGAATGTCCCATGTACACTTGAGAAGAATGTATATTCTGAAGTTTTGGGTATAATTCTTTGTAAATATCGATTAAATCCACCTAATGTAGTGTGTCATTTAAGGTCTCTGTTTCCTTGTTAATTTTTTGTCTAGAGAATGTATACAGTTCTGTTAGTGGGTGATGAAGTCCCCTACTATGATTGTATTGCTGTTGATCTCTTCCTTGAAGTCCTCCAGAAGTTTTTAAATATATTTTGGTGCTCCTATATTGGGTGCATATATGTTTACCGAGGTTATATCTTCTTATTGGATCAATCCCTTTAATATTATGTAGTGGCCTTTTTTGTCTCTTGTTATGGCCTGCATTTTGAAGTCTATTTTATCAGATATGAGTGTTGTAGTATTGCTACCCCAGCTTTTTTCATTTCCATTTGCCTGGAAATATTTTCCCCATCCCTTCACTTTTATCCTGTGTGAGTCTTTTGGTCTGAGGTGGGTCTCTTGTAGACAGCGTATATATGGGTCATACTTTCTTATCCATTCAGCTACTCTGTGTCTTTTGATTGGGGTGTTTAATTCATTTATGTTTAAGGTTATTATTGATATGTACTTATTTATTGCCATTTTATTTATTATGCCTATATATTTTTTTCTCTCTCTTTCTTCTGCTTTTTACAGCAGTCCCTTTAACATTTCTTGCAATGCTGGTTTGGTAGTGATATATTCCTTTAACTTTTTTTTTTTTTTTTTTGAGGGGGGGATCTGGAAAGCTATTTCACTTTCTATTTTGAATGATAGCTTTGCTCAATAGAGTAGTTGTGGTTTCAGATCCTTGTTTTTCATTACCTTGAGCACTTGGTGCCATTCCCTTCTGGCCCATAGTGTTTCTGTTGAGAAATCAGCTGACAGCCTTATAGGAGCTTCTTTGTAGGTAACTTGTTGCTTTTCTCTTCTGCTTTTAAGATTCTCTCTTTGTCTTTAATTTTTGACATTTTAATTATGACATGTCTTGGTGTGGGCCTCTTTGGGTTCTTGTTGCTTGAGACTTTCCATACTACCTGAACTTTAATGCCTTTGTTTCTTCACCAGGTTAGGGAAGTTTTCTGCCACTATTTCTTCAAACAGGTTCTCTAACCCTTGCTCACTTTCTTCTTTGGTACTCCTAGTACTCCTATGATATGGGTGTTGTTACATTTCATATGTCCCACAGCTCTCTTAAACTTGCCCTCTTGGTTTTAATTGTTTTATATTTTTGGTTCTCTGAGTGATTTTTTTCTACTCTGTCTTCTCATTTGCTGATCTGATCCACAGCTTCCTCTAACCTGCTGGTTATTCCTTCCAATGTGTTCTTTATTTCTGCTATTTCATTCTTGATTTCTGATCGGTTGTTTTTCATTGTTTTTATATCTTTCCTTATGCTATTGAGCATGTCTATAATCATCACTCTGAACTCTGTATCTGATAGCTTGCTTATCTCCATTTCATTTAGCTCTTCTTCTGGAG